AAAAAAAAAAAAAGAAATGGTGGTCTTATTTAATGGTATTCAACAACAACCGAGACTTTACCAAATTTGTGAAATCAAGGAGTGGCTGGGATAAGGACTGTGCTGTTTTTCTAGAAGCATCAGTTGATATTCTGTTCTAACATTGTTCTGAGGCAAACAAACCTTTTTATACATTGATAACCTTTTTATACGTTGATCAGAATTTCTCAGATCATATATTTGCATGTAGCACTGAATAAAAGATGCTTTAAAAAATCTTGAAGTTCATTGTGCATACTTTATTTAATAAAAGACAAATGATGGTCATAAATTCAAAAGATCTATTGTACAACATGATGGCTACAGATAATATATTGTATTCTTGAAAAATGCCGAGAGTAGACTTTAAGTGTTCTCACTACAAAAATGACAGCTATGTGAGTTAATATGCATCTTAATTAGCTTGGTTTAGCCATTCCACAATCTACGTATATAGATTTCAAAACAACATGTTGTACACTATATATACAATTTTATCTGTTAATTAAAATTTTCTAAATTTAATTTTTTAAAAAAGACAAGTGATGGTCATTGTGTATTTTTAGATAAACTTTTATTCTAACATATTTATTTTATTTAATTAATTATTTTTGGTGACTGTCTTGTCCAGGGATCAATCCCTGGACTTTGGACCATGCTTTAACCAACTGAGCTAACTAGCCAGCCCTCTAACATGTTTATTTTAAAACCAGCTAAAGCGAACACTCCTCTCTCTGCATGTACATATATATTACTGTAAATATCGGTAAGGAGTATGTGAGTTTGTTCAGTTCTTCTCCGTTTCCATATCTGTTTGCCACTCTTTTCTCTCCTACTCTTTGCCCCCTAGGAAGCTGATCCCTATGGCTACATCCCCAGTGGTCTGTGCTTGATCTGCTTTCTCTGGCCTCTCCATCTTCCCCAGCCTCATTGCTCTTCTCTCCCAGCATCTCCAACATCTCCAAGATATGGACGAAGACTCTGTATTAGTCAGTTTCTGTTGCTTATAACAAAATACCTGGAACTGGGTGATTTGTAAAGAAAACAAAATTTA